GCCATCTCGACGTCTAGCACAAATAATATTGACTAAAATGGACCGCACCCGATCACGGAAGCTACTAGCGGTTGGGATCTTCTGGCGTTATCAGCTGGGAATTGCCAACAGCCACCTACTGCCGATGCAAGCAAGGCCGTACACTGTGTGTAGGAGTCATTAGGGTGTAGTAAATTAATCTTATACTGTTGAGTCCTGGTTTCCCGGACCGCTGCCACGCACGCCACACATGTAGAGAGTGGCTAATTGTAACACGACACACGAACAGTTTCTTAAGTGGACCAAACCAGGAGTTTTATTCAAAGCCTAACTCTAATTGCACAAGCAACAAAGCGTGTCTAATCCTGTAGACAATAGGAATTCGCGCAGAAGGCAGAGGCGGTGCGCCTCTCTCGCGGCCTACTAAGCACCTCGCGTAATAACGCTAACCACAACACTGCGCGGTACGTCAAACAACCGGCCAGATCGCGACTAAAAACATCGGACCAACTCGACATCGAGTTCTCTTACGATCGAAAATACTGCGTGCCGACTGCGATGCCAGGAATGACATGCCTTCTATTTCTATGCAGCTGGTCGGCGACAAATCGTGGTGAGTGCAGCTTAGCAATCACCGCAGCGTGTCAAGTCAAATGATTATCAAAAGACGTGATCTAAAAATCGCAGCCCTACACGCCCACATTGTCAGCAGGTTTATACAAGGGCGGATTATTTGCCACAAACCCTTTCCTCAAATATATATTAAGCTTTTCGTATATCACATACAAAAAAAATTTCGCACATGATTATAACGATGTTTCAGAAAATGAGGATAGATTTACGAAAGTCTTACATGATGTTTACTGAAAAGTGACATTGTTGCTCACGTACGTCACGTGACTCATTTTTTATGTTAGGACTGTCCCCGGCATCAAGCGCTGCTCTATTTTGATGCTAAAGAACTGCTTGTTGCTTAGTACAAATACTCGTGGCCGCGAACCCGTTCTACGGTTCATGCAGGAACGCTACGATCTGTCGATCGGCCGATTAGTGCAGCCGTAGTCACTTCCAAGTCGACATGAATGTTTGCTCTACGCTGGCTAATCGGTTGCTAAAGTAGTCGGCCGATTGTTAATCGTAGCGCCGACCCTGGGCGGGCCTTTATTGATTTGGTGATTGTGGGTGCGTTTGCGTGTGGGTAGATTTCGCTTGGATACTAACCCACACCAAAATCAGACCTTGTGCGCGCTCGCGCGCATCGCTGCGGCCTGATATGATCACCTGAGGAAGTGCGAAAACAACGCCACCTAAGCCATCAAATCGCACACCTGTTTTTTTCTTTTTTTTTGTTGTTTTTTTTCATTAATTCAACTTATATAAACTCGCAGATGATAAACGCAAATGGTTTGTAAACATCAACAGACATGCAGGAAAGTCGGTTCACTATGTTATAACGACATTGGCAAAGCCGCTCTACGCAATGACAATTGCATGGTTTGTATTTTTAGATTGAGTGTTGTTCCTTTTTGCACTAAACATTGCTAAATGTGTGATTCAAGTTATCCACATGTCCAAGAAGCTGCATATTATTGTTAGATGGAAAAAATACCTAAAAATGTCAAAATTAATAGTACAAATGCCCAAGCTAATTTTGTAGCCCAAATGTTGGAATGGATTTTCAATACGAAGTCTCAGTATTCAACCTGCGGCACTCGATGCAAACACACACCTCGCGCGAGCCAAGGTGTGCGATTTTTCACTCGCTTGTTTTTCCAAACACACAAGGACTGCAAATCACCAAAATCATCGGTGTGGTGCGTTCAGAGGAAATCTCTGGATAGTAATAGTTTAGTGTTTCAATCGGGTGTAATTTCATAATCGATCATACGTTGCGACCAGCTATAACCGATGATCGGTGACAATCCGGTTTACTCGGGTGTTGAATGCCTGCGTGTGCGTAACGTCGTGTGCATGCTACGTCGACTGCTGCATCGTTATGTGCTTGTTTAGCCCCTGTTTACTGTTTGTTTTGCACTCGTTTTTACTACTGTGTGTATAATAACATGTTACTGATTATCATCACTTTTCCAAGTTATTTTTTTTGATTAAATCGATTATGGGATTTTATATACAAGCACTTGTTCGGGCCACTGCTGCAATCCGATGATAATCGATGATCGTGACATCACTAGTAATAGTATAGAATATGCTACAGGTCAACATAAATGGCGCTCAATGTATACGCCGCTCGTCACTTCGAATTTTTATAACAGGTTATATTAGTTTAATACAGAATATTGTGATACATAGTAAGTTCCGGGATAGCGGAGAAAGGTTCATGTTGAGAATAAACCCAGTTTGGAAGTTCTAGTTTCTGAAAATGCACCAGCAAACCGCCCTGAGTGATTCACTCAGGGGTTCCTCCACACAAAAGGATAGGGACGCTTTGTAACCCTATCCTGGGTTTGGGTTACATTATTGTATCTACACAACAACATATAGTATTGTATCCTCCGCGACGAAGTCGGCGGGAGGGTACTATGGTTTCATGTCTGTCCAGCCGCCGCCGCCGCTCTCGCTCGGTCCGCAGAGAATTTCCCTTCCGCTCTGTAACTCGGCCCCTAATTCTTGACCTAGCGCGACCAAATTTCGTATACTTACAAATCTTGTGGAGAAGGTGTGTTGCGTACCAAAACCAGGTCGCTGCGACCTTTATTTGACCTTTACCTTGACCTTGATCATACTTCCCTTCCCTCTTGTAACTCGGCCCCTAATTGACCTAGCGCTACCAAACTTGGTATACTTACACATTTGGGGAAGGGGTGTGCAGCGTATCAAAACCAGGTCACTGCGACTTTATTTGACATTGACATTGACCTTGATCATATTTCACTTCCACTCTATGACTCGGCCCCTAATTGACCAGCGCTACCCAAACTTGGTATACTTACACATCTTGGGAGAAGGTGTGCAGCGTACCAAAACCAGGTCGCTGCGACCTTTATTTGACCTTTACCTTGACCTTGATCATATTTCCCTTCCGCTCTTATAAGAGGGAGAGGGAGAGGGAGAGGGAGAGGGAGAGTGAGAGGGAGAGAGATCGATCGTGGGTCAGTTTGATCATGTTATGTTATGTTATGTTGTTTTTCACTTCAACGTAATAAAGTATTTCGATTTTAAAAATTGTTTATTTTTCATTTAACTAAACGGAGCCTAGGATAAAATATGGCTTGTTTCCCCTTTACCGACCGGCTCGTTAAAACGCCCCGTCTCAACACATTTTATTGGCCGATTAAAAAAAGCAACAACTGAACAGTTATAGTTGTTTAACATCCTTGTTTAATCCCTCCTTCTCCATCACCTTCTCCCTTCCCCCTTCCTCCTTCTCCACCACCTTCTCCCTTCTCCCCTTCCTCCTTCTCCACCAGCTTCTCCCTTCTCCCCTACCTCCTTCTCCACCAGCTTATCCTCCTCCTCCTTCTCCACCAGTTTCCCCCCTCCTCCTTCTCCACCACCTTCTCCCTTCTCCCCCTCCTCCTCCACCAGCTTCTCCCCTTCCTCCTTCTCCACCAGTTTCTCCCTTCTCCCCTTCCTCATTCTTCACTAGCTTCTCCCTACTCCACCTAATAGTACTACTCTAAACTTCCTCCTCCCTCCCCCTCCCTTCCCCCTTCCCCTCCCTACACTGCTCCTTCGCTACCCTGTACAAGAACTACGAGAGTGCTAACGATGTTCCAATGATACGCCCGAAACGCCGATATACCACGTAGCGCCATCTGGCGGTGGCGTTTACAAGTTAATTTACGACGCTAAACCGGGGGCCGGTTTCACGAAGCGTACTTAAGTATTGAATCGTGATTAAATCACTAATCATGATTAACAATTGAAGTGGCTGTTTCACGAAGCGTAATTAACTTTAATCATGATTAAGTTAATCACAATATTTAATTCTACTCAGGAGCATGATTAAATTAATCCACTAATCATAATTAGTTGCTAGTACTAGAAGTATAGTAGGTAGTACTAGTATATTAAGTACGCTGCAGATTTTACTATTGGAAATTTTCCTTCAATTTTTTCCCAAGAAAATTTAAATTATCTAAGATTTGCTGTACTACTTCAGTCATTATAGTTACAAATTCCTTTTCATGTACCGAACTTGCAGATATTTTTGGCGTATTGGTCCGCCATATTGAATACAGTGTAATTTGTTTTATACTGGTACTCGCTCCCACCTCGATTACTCGATTCCCATCGAGTACCCCTCGGTAACTAAGCCGAGAGGGGAGCGAGTACCAGTAGGAGATCTACCCTCCATCTGGCGATAGTGAGCGCGTGTCCTAACAATGATGTGTACGCAACTGCGTGTCTGCATATCTGCGCGTAACAAATGTGGTACTACGCACGACTGAAATTTTACGTTTATAATTGTAGCAACAGACCTCAGATGAGCCCAGACGCTTTGCGGCTCTTGTTGTCATGTTAGCAGATGATGTGGGTATTTGCTACAAGGTAAAAATCTGTGCGATAATCTGTTAGCATATTACGCATATGACAAGTTTGTGTCATAGAACAATTGTTCATAATTTCCTGTTTGAAACAAGGATATAAACGCACACATAAAAACCAACTATGGATATAACCTAAACAGCTGTGTAGTTTCCTCTGAAAGAGCTTCAGCTTTGAGTGCAACCTTCATCGTTCATTGTCACATTTTAGGGGAATGTTGCCAAGAATAAAAGGAGAAGTAGATGGCATTATTGCAGTCTCCCGGCAGCCGAACGACAGTGCAGCGATTAGGTGTGTGTGACTAAAACGTTATATATTCCTCATTCATATATCTATTCAACTATATTATTGTTATCATTGCTATTATTAGTTATAATGTTACTACGGTAAACATCAGGGGCCGGTTTCACGAAGCGTACTTAACTTAAGTATGATTAAATCACTAATCACACTTAACTTCCCGTAATTATGATTAGTTAATCATACTTAAAAATCTGTTTCACGAAGCGATTTAAGTACATATTTAACTAATCACATAATTAGCCGACTTCAACATATGAATAGAGATAGTACTCGCTCCCCTCTTGGCTTAGTTACCGAGGGGTACTCGATGGGAATCGAGTAATCGAGGTGGGAGCGAGTACCAGTC